TTCTGGGGATTAAGGCTCCAAGGAGTGAGTTTGGGGGATACGGTGCGACCCACAGCAAAAGGCAATAGATACGCACATGTTCGTAGCTGAACAAGAATGTTTCCATAGAAATAGATTCGAATCGACCTTGTAACGATTTGCTTACAGCAAGCTACTCATCAAAGAGCGTAGTTGGGTGGGTTTGCACACGCCGGGGTCTCCATCCCTCGCTGTCCCCAGGCCAGGCAGCCCCTGACCTTCCTCCTGTCCCTGTCCCTGTAGGTCGCCTTGCAGGTTCCGGTTTCATGGCAGGGACTCCTGCACTGTCTCCTTTGTCCAGCTGCTTTCACGCCGCATAGTTATCGAGAGATTCACCCGTGTCTTTGCGGAAGGGCCATTTAGATGGGCTCGGCCGGTTGGGCCTGCGGGAAGCAGCTTGGCTTCTGCAGACCAGCATCGGGGCGGCTTGGTTCTAGTGCTAAAGATATCTTGCTTCTGCTTTAAAACAATATTTGCCCGTTAGGTAACGTTTGAAGGAACATTTCAAGGAAGTGTAAATTGAGTGCAATGAAAATGCAGAAGTGAGAAGGGAGGTGAAGTTGGGTTGGCAAGGAGGTTCTGTGGGTGTTGGAGGCACTTACCTGTTAGGGTTGGGTTTTTCTGGACTGAGACTTGGTGACTGGCCTGGGGGAGGGGCCGGCCCACCAGGGGCCCAGGTCCCTGTACAGACCTGGGGCTTGTTTGGGTGCAGCAGGACACACGTCCAAATTGCATCCACTGTTTTACATTCTTATTAAAACCAGTTGCCTTCCAGGTGGAGCTCCTTAGGGACCAGAGGAAAAAGATACCCCTCCCAGCTCCCGGAATTACTACTTTGAACACACAGTGCGGCAAATGAAACGTACTCACAGCAGAGTCTCCACGTTTCATGGTTCTTGTGCATTTTGAGGCTTGGCGATTTATTAGGCTTTTGCCCACGAAGCATCAGTGGTCTCATGGACGCGCTGGATGAATAAGACACATAGCTCCTGCTGATAATTTGTGAAGATGGCTTTTGGTTGAGACCCCTGTACCTTCAGATGATGTAGGGAAAAGGTTCGGGAGGTGCTCTGGGATTGGGGTGCCGGGGGCTCTGAACCCTGGAAGTGACAGACGGGGAGCACCCCTGACACCCACATCGGGTACCTGCCTCTCAGAGAGGCTGGCAGAGGAGGTCTGTGCTCACATCTGAGTGCGGCTTGTTTGGGGGAGACCTCAAAGCCCCCCTCGCCCCTGGGTCACCGTGCTGACCCTGTGTCTCTCGGGTCGTGGGAGCTGTCTCGCAACAGTGAGACTCGGGGGCCCGGGATGGTGGCTCCCCGACGGCCGGACTCTGGGAATCTCCAAGCCTCAGTTTCCCTGCCTGGCAGCTTGGAGACCACCTCCGCCCTTCCCGGAGGCTGCGGGATTGGAAATGGGTCCCGCAGCAGGCAGGCCGCCCACTGGGCAGGACAGACCCGCGGCTGCCCCCTCCGTCACTCGCTGTGGGGTCTCTGGCATGGCCCCTGTGCCCCAGGTTACCCGTGTGAGGGCGGCCAGCCCCGAGCCCCGCGCTGTGCAGGGCGACGCAGCTTTTGGAGTGTGGTCTGGATCATGGATTCAAGTTGTTCTGGCACCAAAGTGGTCACGTTTCATAAGCGATACTGTCCAAAACTGAAGTGTCTTGAGATTAGCAAGCTATAAATAAAATAGACAGTAGAGACCCCACAGGAGAAACAAAAATGCTGGAGAGATGGTGTGGCTTCCAGGTGGCACGTGGGTCACTTTGGTGAAGTCTCAGGTGCCGGTGTGGCAACAAATGCCCCTTGGTCTCAGCCAGCCTTAGCTGCTCCTGTCAGTGTGGCATCTGAGTCCCTGAGGACCGCAGGCTTCTCTCTGAGGGTCCCTTCATCACAGGGCTGCCTGCGTGGACCTTTGGATGCATGAACATGCCCTGCGATCTGTGCAGCAGCACCGGTAATTCAGAGATGGCAGTCAGGTCATCAGTCCACAGGTGTGTGTCCTGTGAACAGCTGTGTGACCCACGGCCAGGTGCATCTTCACTGGACCGTAGCAGATGCTCTGCTGCCCTTGCCCTCACAGAAAAGGTGTGGCGAGCGTGCTTTAGTCTGAAGCCTGCATCTTTCTTATCAGGCCATCCTATGACATGACTACCCAGGATGCTTCCATTTTTAGGGTCACAGCTGCTGAAATGCAACTGGGCAGCCGCTCTTCTGCTGCGGTCAGGTGGGTGGGACCCTCATGACCTCTTACTGATGTGGAGACATAACCAACTTTGTAATGCAAATTCAGTTATTCCCTTAAAGTTTCCTGGATAAATTGGATAAATTACGTGTATCCTTAATGTTTCCATAGCAGACTAATCTGTTTTTTTTTTTTTTTGGCTGTACCGCACGGCACGTGGGATCTTAGTTCCTCAACCAGGAATCGAACCTGTGCGCCCTGCAGTGGAAGCGCGGAGTCCTAACCACTGAACTGCCAGGGAAGTCCCCCAGACTAATCTATTTTTGATTATCATTCCTTTAGATGCCTGTTCTTTTTAGTGTACAGGTGACTTTTTTCCCTAATGAAAATTGTGTTTTCTTACAACAAAATCTCTGTGAAGTACATAACTGATTTTAAGCTGCTCTGGTTGAATATTAGTTTATTTTAGAACTTTCCATATGAGTTGAAATTATTTGAGAAATGCGAAAGCCACCTGAGGTGGTTGCTGCTTCTCTAAAATGGCCCCGGCATCCTGCCCCTTTGCAGTGCTCTTCCTCATTCTTAGGCTCTCTGTTTCACTGGCACTGGCATTCTGCCCCTTTGCAGTGTTCTTCCTAATTCTTAGGCTCTCTGTTTCACTGGCACCGGCATTCTGCCCCTTTGCAGGGTTCTTCCTAATTCTTAGGCTCTCTGTTTCACTGGCACCGGCATTCTGCCCCTTTGCAGGGTTCTTCCTAATTCTTAGGCTCTGTTTCACTGGCGAGTAAAGAGCCTTATTATTCATATAGGAAGTCAGGGGATGAAACATGCCTCTCCCTAACTTGAATATAGGGTTCTTAGGGCTCTCAGTACCTCCCCCCATGTTCGGCCGGAGCTCCGCGTGGACTCGGGGCATGAAGCCGATGCTTTGAGTTTAAATGGTCGATTTCCTGGTTTGACGTGTGTTTCGGATCCTCCCTCAGTGTCTGACTAACCTGAGTCTGTAACGCCAGGTGTGCGGTGTGAAGCCGCACCTGGACGGCCTGTCTGTCCCCCCCCTCCCCGCCTCCCACGCCCTGGGGGAGGGGCAGACCGGCTGCTGACCACCCTCGGGGGTGGTCCACGCACCCAGGGCCGAGCACTGGGTGTCGGCTGTGAGCCCAGGGCCCCCGCAGCCAGTTCTGGGCTTGCCTACTCTCCTCAGGGCTCTTCCGCGGGGTCAGGTCCCGCTGCTGTCACACGATCGAAGCAGAGTGTTTACTTCTGGTCTTCGAGTCAGGGGGCTGGTTGGAGTGGGGGGGTCTCTATTCTCGCCTGGCAGGGACGGTGCTGGGTGGGCTGTCGAGGGAGACAAGGGAGTGAAAGGCTTGGACCCTCCCCAGCCTCGTTCTCCCAGCCTGGGGACTGTGGGTGTTTCCAGGTGACCTCAGATGGTGATGCGAAACGTAAAGTCTAAAGGAAGGTGTTGCACAAATGAGGTGGCCCCCGCCCTCCGCCCCTGCCCCCCCCAACCGGGGAAAGGTGGACAGATGTCCGCACCTTTGACTAGCTGGAAAACGGTGTGTTTATCAGGGAAGACCTGTCTTCTGCAGGGCATCTTATGCTGTGAGCCTGGCCCCAGATTTCGTACAGTGAAGTCCTAGCCCCCAGAGCCTCAGAACCTGACCTAGTTTGGATGTGATTTGTACTGAGGTAGTAGGATGGGCCTAATCCGATACGACTGTGTCCTTGTAGGAGGGGACACTGGGACAGACACGCACACAGGGAGGCGGCAGAGGCAGAGGTGGGTGATGCTTCCACGAGCTAAGGACGCTGAGCCAGTCACCACAGAAGCTGACGGAGGCCAGGATGCATCCCCCGGCGGGGCCTTCGGAGGGAGTCCTGCCCGCACCTCAGCCTCGGTCGGGCTCTGGCCTCCAGTTGGGTGGCACTGAAGTTCTGTTGTTTTGTCTGCCCAGTCCGGTGGCCCCGGGAAACTTTGGGAGCAGCAAAGAGCTGGGGAATGAGTCTGGGGAGAGCAGTGCGTGGGGCCCAACTCGAGAAATGATTCGGGTGATTGGGACCGCGAAGGGGGTTCTCATCACCTTGGGTCCCTCCCCCAAAGATACCTTCCTGGGGGCTGAGCTGGTCACAGGGCCTTCTCCCTCTGGAGCTGGCTTGGGCTGGAGTTTGGGAGTTTGTGGATGTCCAACTTCAGTCCTTACTGTTCTAGGGGTTTTGTTTGTGTAGGATGTTGTTGCTTTGTGTTTTTTTTTTTTTTGCGGTACGCGGGCCTCTCACTGTTGTGGCCTCTCCCGTTGCGGAGCACAGGCTCTGGACGCGCAGGCTCAGCGGCCGTGGCTCACGGGCCCAGCCGCTCCGCGGCATGTGGGATCTTCCCGGACCGGGGCACGAACCCGCGTCCCCTGCATCAGCAGGCGGACTCCCAACCACTGCGCCACCAGGGAAGCCCTGTCACTTTGTTTTTAAAGGATGCTTCTTCAAGGGTGAGGGATGAAGGTGCCCCTGGGTTACTTGGCCTAGATGTTCTGATTTTCTGTTTGGGTGAGAAAGTCACTTCGACTGTGGATGGGTGTCCTCCTTTCTGGAATATTTGTTTGCTCGGAGGGTTGGCTGCGGCGTGTAGGATTCTGTTCAGAGCGCCACATGCCCGACGACAGGTGAGCCTCAAACTGGACGCTGGTTCAGGTGCCCACCGTCGAGTGCCCTGTGCCCGGTGGCCGCCCTCCGTGCACCCTCCTAACTCCCTCGGTGTGTGTGTCGACCGTGCGGGTAACCCTTCCGTTCTTGCCCCACAGAGTCTGTAGAAGAGACCACCCCAGGATCCCAGATGAACAGCCGGCGCGAAGATATGGAAATCGCGTCCCACTACCGGCATCTGCTCCACGAGCTCAACGAGCAGAGGCAGCACGGCGTCCTGTGCGACGTGTGCGTGGTGGTCGAGGGCAAGGTCTTCAAGGCCCACAAGAACGTCCTGCTCGGCAGCAGCCGCTACTTTAAGACGCTCTACTGCCAGGTGCAGAAGGCGTCCGACCAGGCCACGGTCACGCACCTGGACATCGTCACGGCCCAGGGCTTCAAGGCCATCATCGACTTCATGTACTCTGCCCACCTGGCCCTCACCAGCAGGAACGTCATCGAGGTGATGTCCGCGGCCAGCTTCCTGCAGATGACGGACATCGTGCAGGCCTGCCACGACTTCATCAAGGCCGCGCTGGACATCAGCATCAAGCCGGACGCCTCGGACGAGCTCTCGGAGTTCGAGGTGGGCGCCCCACCCAGCAGCGGCGCGGACGCCCTCATCTCCGCCGTCATGGCCGGGAGGAGCATTTCCCCGTGGCTGGCCCGCCGCACGAGCCCCGCCAACTCTTCTGGGGACTCGGCCATCGCCAGCTGCCACGAGGGCGGGAGCAGCTGCGGGAAGGAGGACCAGGAGCCCAAGGCCGACGGCCCCGCGGACCTGTCCTCCCAGCCGCTGTGGCCTGGCGACGCGGGCTACGGGCCCCTGCACATCAAGGAGGAGCGGCTCTCGCCGGCTCACTACGCGGGCAGCGAGCCGCCGTCCGCCGGGGATGGGGCCGCTCAGAACTCCTTCTCAGAGCAGGCGGCAGGGGACGGCTGGCAGCCCACGGGCCGGAGGAAGAATCGCAAGAACAAAGACACGGTCCGGCACATCACGCAGCAGGTGGAGGACGACAGCCGGGCCGGCTCCCCGCTGCCATCTTTCCTCCCGACGTCCGGGTGGCCCTTCAGCAGCCGAGACTCAAGTAAGCCTTTGGTTTGTTACAGGCCGGGCTCAGGCGCCCTGGGGCGTTTGTCGGTGGCCCCGGGGCCGCTCGTTTTGTCCATGCAGTGGCACCTTTCCAGGCTCACGCTGGTGGCTTCCCGCGGGTCACCCCCTTTCGTAGTAAATCGGTGTGAGCGCGGGGAAGGTGGCCAACGCGTCTCAGCGGGTGCGCCAGGGCCGCCGACACACCGAGGCTGCTGGGCTGGGGATTTTCTGGAGCTGGAAAGGCGGGGTGACACCCGGAAGGAGCCCCAGCGTGGGGTGTGGTGGAGCCTCTTGTAGGCACTGGGTGGCGTAACTTAATTTTTAAAGATTTAAACGTGACGGTGTTAAAAAGATAAAGAAGTGCACGAAGTGACGTGACTCGGGTAGAAGGGAAGGCCAGGCCAGGTGTGCGGGCTCCAGCCGTGGCCACTGTTGTCAACGTGGAAGAAACACCACGTGTGTGTGTTTCGTCCTGGGCACGTGAGGGCTCGTGGCCACAAGCTCCCCTCCCGATGAGGGGTATTTCCTCGTTGCCAACAAGTGCGGGTTCTGTGGTTCGCCCACAGGGCAGCCGGTGGGCGTTACCGCACAGGTGGGGAGCCCCTTCTGGGCCCCGAGTCCGTCAGCCGTGAGGGCTCTTAGCTTAGCTTTGTTGACGCTGGCCCTCACCCTCTGGAGGATGGTTTTATCTGTCTCCCAGGCTAGTAAACAAGTGAAATGTTTACTAGATGCCAGGTGCTCTTGCTGGCGCCGAGCATGTGATAATTACGGCTGCACCGAGCTTTCCCGAGTGACAGATGGGACCACGAGGGCTGCGTTTGGAGTGAGGAGGGGCTTTGGTGGGACGAGGTTGGTCCAGAGCAGGATGGAGGCTTCTCAGCAAGTGACCGCATTGGGGAGGCCCCTCCAGGAAGGAGGTTAGAACCCAGTGGGGGCTCAGAGGTGGACAGAGGTGGAGAGAAGGCAGTGAACCGTGGGCACAAGCCCTGAAAGGTGTCACCAGTGCTAGGCCTGTGCTGGGGCTGGGAGGGTGACCCTGGGGCTCTTGATACACTAGCTTGATTACTGTGGTAAAACGTACGTATCATGAACTTCACCCCTTTAACCATTTTTAAGTGTATTGGCATTAAATACATTGCCACTATCCATCTCCAGAACTTTCTCATCACCCCCAGGAGACACTGTAGCCTTTCTTATTGGTTCTCATTCTCATTGCCCCTGTGCGTCCCCAGCCCCAAGCGCTGGGCCAGCCTCCTGCAGGTTCAGTCCAAGCGGGTTCCACCAGTGTCGCCCCCTCGGCAGGATGATTCTGTGTGAGGTGGAGTCCTTCGTGCTGTAGGACATCGGCAGTGCCCTGGCCTCCGCCCACTGCATGCCAGGAGCCGCCCACCCCTGGTCATGACGTTGCCAGTGTTCCTGATGGGAAGCCCCCCGCAGAACCGTTGAGTGTAACTGAACTAACTCAGAAGAAGGTTAAGTTTCTGAGATGATAGAAAGCCCACCTGTCTCCCTGCCAGCGGTCGGCACAGTGGTTGTCTGTGTCTGCACTCTCCGTGACGACTAAACGTCCCTTTAGCTCTGACTAAAGCCTGGAGAGCAGCGTCCACAGGGACTGACTTAAGGAACCTTCTGGGTGGGTCAGGGCCGCAGAGCCTTCCCGTCCTGTCCTACACCTGCTGCATCACGAGTCGTCCGGCGGGCCGCGGGGCTGGAGGCTCTAGATCGGAGAGCCCACCAGCACGTTAAAAACGAGGACGCTCCTTAAGCCTGTGGGTTTGATGTTTTAAATGCAGTTGTCGAGCAGAAGGTGTTTTTAGAATCCAACAAGTGATTTCTCCTGGTGTACTCTTGCTAATGTCTGAAATCCCTTGGGTTACCAAGGCAACTGCGAGATTTCCCCTGAGTTGCTAAGACAAGGACCCGAGGTGTGGGCTTGCGTGGGATGGCTCTGCCCGCCACAGTGGCCATTTACTCCTCTGCCCTGGCCCTGGGCTGGGGTTTGGAAGCATAAATTGTGATCCGCAGTGGAGGAGAGTTTGCTTTCCTTAAAGATTGATTACATCTTAGAGGAGAGTATTGTTTCCTTCTCATCCCGTTTATAGGAGAAAAGGCCCTTTTCCAAAGGAATGTGTCAGCCGGTTCCTGCCGATCATTCAGGGCGCTTGACGAAGATGCTCTGATGCCCAGCCCTGCAGCGGACCACCGCCCTGTCCCCTGCGTGTCCCCACCTCGGCGTCAGGGACTCTGGGGCCTGTTCGCATTTAAAAGTGATTCTTCCAAGCAGGCAACCAAGTGCTTTCTAACCCAGTAGCTTCCAAGAAAACATCCGTTGAAATGTACTTCCGGGTTACAGCTGTGGGAAACGGCGTTTAAACGTGCAGGTGCGATGGACACAGGCCGGGCCCGTGGTAGCTGCCGGCTCCGGCCTCGGCCCCTTGTCTATGATCCCAAGACCGTGAGCCTCCAATGCGGTGGCTTGTACTTGTTCAGAAGCTGGTGTCAGGAGAGCCCAGGTGCCCCATCCCGACATCCCACACGTGTTCCGAAAAGGATCTGCAGAAATAAAGTTCTGAGCTAGAATAAAGCGTGTGGGTCTTGTGAAGGAACTGTTTATCCCTGAACCTCGGTAAGGGTGGACCCTGGCGTCCTGGGATTTTGAAGAGTACTTGGGGACCACAGAGCGGGTTCAGGGCGTGCAGGTGGCCTCCGGAGACTCTGGTGGGTGCTCTAAGCTTGCAGCTGCCGTCCTGCTGGGGCCAGGGCCCAGCCCTCCCCTGCCCAGGTCGGAGGGTCTCTTCCCTCGCAGCTCGATGCTGGGGCTGAAGCCAGGCCGGCAGCCGCTCCCTTGGCTGTACCCCCAGATGTTTTCCTTTCAGAAAGGATTGGAATTGCCTGGAATTCCTCTGGTCGACCTTGGGGCCGTGGTCAGGGGGCAGCTGCTGCCCTGACACCCGGCAGTGGTCTTCGCGGGGCGCTACGTCGGGAGGGAGCGCACCTGCTGCTGAGGACGGAGGTGCGCGAGGGGCCTCGTGCAGGCCCCGGGGGGCGGGATCTCTGGGGGCGGGGCCTGGGCGAGGGCGGGGCTCGGCCCTGACCGAGGCCGCACTTCCCAGTTACCACCTGGACTGGAGATCCTCGTCACTGTGGCTCTGCTGAGTGGCCAGCGGAGCTTCTTTTCTGATGAAATGGAAGTTCCTGGACTTTCTAGAAAATTCAGTTGCTGAAGACAGAGCCCCTGAGGTCTCTCATCATCTAGATGTGGGAGCCGAGGCTGGTCACCCGGGGCCACCCCCCGACCCCGCCCTGAGAGGGAGCTGGAGGGTCTGGGTCTGGGTGCGTCAGGACAAGGCGGGGCCCCTGGGAGGCGACAGGTGGGCGCGGCCCGCGGTCGCGCTCGGGACCCCCAAGGCTCCGCTCGCGACAGAGGGGTGGGGGTTGGCTGGGGCCCTGGTGCTGGCAGAGCCGGCTGGCAGCTTTTCGAGGGCTCATTTGCTCCGGGGTGCGTTTCTGCTCTTCCTGATCTCGCGGGCGCCCCCTGCTGACCTGACACAGAGGCCACCTGCCTTGGCTGCTTCCAGGCGGGTTCCCAGATGTGCCGCCACCTCGCTGGGTCCTGTTTTGATTTGAATTTGAGGGGTTTTGTCCTCTTCAACCAGGTGTGTGTTTTCTTCTGATGTTTGGACACTGTGACAGTGACGCCCCCAGGGTGCCGACCGGGGTGGGGACCGAAGCCCCACAGGCACCCACCTCCCAGGGACGAGGAGGCTCTGGCTGTGTTGAAGTGCCCGGGGAGATGCTCGTACATTTTGTATTTGCTGTATATACGTGTATTTATATACATACACTTAAAAGCACAGCTTGGGAGCTTACATTTAAATGGAGATTTTAAAAGGAGCTGTGAGTGTAATTTTTAACTGTTCATTTGAAAACTTTTATGCTGCTGCTTTTATCAAACTTTTAAAGGATGGAAGCAGACATACACATTTGACTCTTCTAAGTCAAATCCCAGATGTTCAGCCGGCAAGGGGGGCATGACCCACCCCCCAGACACCCCGACACCCATCCTGGGGACCACCTCCCCAGCTAGTGTGTCCTGACTCGGCCCCTGTGTGCTGGTTTCTCCCGGTCAGTCTGCTGTTGACGGAGCCCACGGGGGTGCCCGCCCCTTCCCCAGCCGTAGGCTCTGTCCTGACCTTGACGGGCCTGGCTGCCAGGACCCTCGGTGCATGCCTTCTGGTGCTGGTGGCATGTGTGTTTTTGGTGTAGACCTAGAGGTGTTTCTAGGGGCGTGTCTGTTTCCTGCTGCTATGACAAATCACCGCAGACTTAGTGGCTTGAAGCAGCCCAGCTGTATTATCTCTCGCCCAGATGTCGCCGGTCCGCAGGGCTGGATCCTTCTGGGGGCTCAGGGGAGAATCCCGGTCTTTTCCAGCTTCCAGAGACGCCACGTTCCTTGGACCGTGGCCCTGTGTCACTCGGACCTCAGCTCTGGTGCCGCATCCCCTGCGCTGGCTCTGGCCCTCATGCCTCCCTCTTCCTCTGAGATGGACCCTTGTGTGGACAGGGACCCCTGGACTGGCAGGGTGATCTCCCATCACACTTGCAAAGTCCCTTTTGCCACGTGAGGTGACATGTTCACAGAGATTAGGACCCAGACACATGGGGACCATCATGGGAACACGGATAATAACGAGGTGTTTTGGTGAAAACTGCCATTCCCTTTCCTATTGTTTTAAGTATGATATACATTCAATAAACTGCACAGGGCTTCCCTGGTGGCGCAGTGGTTAAGAACCCGCCTGCCAATGCAGGGGACACGGGTTCGAGCCCTGGTCCGGGAAGATCCCACATGACGCAGAGCAACTAAGCCCGTGCGTCACAACTACTGAGCCTGCGCTCTAGAGCCCGTGAGCCACAACTACTGAAGCCTGAGCGCCTAGAGCCCGTGCTCTGCAACAAGAGAAGCCACCGCAATGAGAAGCCCACGCACCGCGA